AAAAAAAAAAAAAAAAAAATAGCTTGTTGGTTTTAATGGAAGGGGCCGGAGCCAAAGGACATAGATGAGCTCTAAAAATTGAAGAGACAAGGAAATGAATCCTGCCATCAAAGCCTCCAAAAGGAATCACCCTGGTACCTTGACCTTGACTTTAGCTCAGTGAGACTGATTTTAGACTTCTGTCAGACCTGTTAATAAATTTGAGGGGTTCGTTTTTTAATAGAAGTCTCTTTGTTGCCCAGGCTGGAGTGCACCGTCGTGCTGTTCACGGCCACTGCAGCCTTGACCTACTGGGCTCAGGCAATCCTTCCGTGTCAATCTTCCAAGTAGCTGGAACTACAGGCATGCTCCACCACGTCCAACTTATTTATTGTAGAGATGAGGTCTCATCATGTTGCCCAGACTGGTCTCAAGCCCCTGGGCTCAGGCATCCTCTCACCTCTGCCTCCCAAAGTGCTGGGATTACATGCATGAGCTACCACCCCCGGTCACATTTTATTATTTGTGTGATGCAGAAATTTTTATAGGCACTTTCTATGATTCTGAGATATTTCATGATTTGAACAAGTAGAGGAGACAGGATTCAAACCTGCAGCTACTACACCTTTTCCATAGCTCTTAAGATGTCATCCACTGTGTTTGAGAGTTAAGATGGCACCCTCTACTGAGGGACATTTTTCTTGCAGCATGCTCATGGTCACCGCAGCCTTGACCTGCTGGGCTCAGGTGATCCTTGTACCTCAGCCTTTCAAATAGCTGGAACCACAGGCATGTGCCACCATGCCTGGCTAATTTTTCTTTTATTGTAGAGGTGAGGGCTTGACAAGTTGTACAGGATGGTTCTGAACCTGTGGCCTCAGGCAATCCTCTCACCTCAGGCTCTCAAAGTGCTGGAATTATAGGCGTGAACCACCATGCCCGGCCAATTTGTTTGAAGTCATTACCTTTGTGGTCATTTGTTAACAGCACCAAAAGGATACTAATACAACTGAAAGATAATAAAAAGGATAATATAGTTTCAGAAGTGCCCTTACTAAAATTTAATGTAGAACCACTAACTGCTGATATGAAGAGGATTCTCTATCTTTTGTGAATCCGCTGCTGAAAAGTGACAGGTAGGTCTGTAAGGTGTTGCTTAATAAACAGATATGATTTCCCTTTTCCTGTATAAACTGTTATGCTTAGCAACAGTCAACCCTACTAGAATTTTTTTTTTGAGTTGGAGTGTCACTCTGTCGCCCAAACTGGAGTGCAGTGGCCGCTCCCGGCCACCGCAGCCTCGACCTGCTGGGCTCTGGTGATCCTTCCGCTTCAGCCTTCCAAGTAGCTGGAATTACAAGCGTGCGCTACCACGCCCAGCTATTTTTTTGATTTATTGTAGAGATGAGGTCTCCCCAAGTTGCCTGGGTGGGTCTCGAACCCACGGGCTCAGGCAATCCATCTCACCTCAGCCTCCCAAGGCATGGGATTACAGGCTGAGCCACCGAGCCCGGCTCAGAACTTATTTTTTTTAGCGGACAGTTCCAACAAACTAGATTTTAAAATTTCACTTTAATGAGACAAATTCACCCTAGGAATCATGAAACTAATTCTTTTCTTCCTCACTTAAAACATTCCTGTGGAAATAACATATTCCAGTTGTTTCAAGGACCTAGGATATGTACACTAGTGTCTTCGTGGTATCAACCAATTTATAAATGTAAAAATAATTCAATGAGTGTGTCTGTGTGTAGGCATGTCTACTTCCACTACAATGGCAATCAGATAAACAAGCCTAATTGCATAAAGGAATATAAAACTATTTATTGACCACTGTTCACCAGTATTTACAATAAAGTAAACAATATACAGTTGGATAACATTCTGATTACCACAAAGTTGTTTTTCCTGGCTGCTGCTGAACCAGTAAAGCCAATACTGAAAGGACTACATGTAAGGAATGAGTTGGGGTAAAGAAAAAACATGCATGTCAATTAGCCTAGATTACAAGTTTTTCACCCATTTATGACAGCAGGCCCTAAACCACCAATATTTCTAAATGTCTGACTAGCCTTCCATGAGCCAAGTCTTAGACATCCCACGAATCACAACCTTTCAGTCAATATAGCACACAGATTTCAACTTTTTGTTAAGGAATGGCTCGCTAGAGAAATTGTTAAATGTCCATTTAACTAAGTCTTATTTAAGCTAATTAAAACACACCAAGATTTTTCTAGTTTCCTTATCTGAATGGTGAAATTGTTAGTAGTGATAAAATTTTTCCCTTTTAGTCATTTTGCAAACAAACCACTACTCTTATACATATTAATTCTAATTTGGCTGCTGTTAAAATCATCCAATTTAAACTATTCTATTAATCCCAGAATCATCTATTTAACTTTAAATGTTTGGCTTCAAAAAAATTTTCAATTTAAGTGATTTATTTCTTAGGCTGCTCATAATGACGGCATTTCAGAAACAAGGGCTTACCCAAAATTTTGTTTTGGTTAATATTTAAAAACAACAACGAAAAGGAAAACCAACTGCATATGTATTTTATGTATACACACACACAAAACAAAAAATCCAGAATGGTCCTTAGGCATATGAGAACACAAATTCTGATTGAGTAATGACTATGGAAATTTCTCCCAACATTTAGAAAAGCTGTTCTCTAATGCAGAGGAAATAATATACCATGGTATCAAATGTTATTTTCTGAGAAAGGAAGCAACTACAGAAAGTTTTTATTTGTTCAAAGTAACCAGTGCTACTGATGCAACCCCCCCCAACAACTCTCCCAAAACTACTTTCAAAACAAACTTATCAAACTTAATTTTCATTAGAATGCAGTTATTTCGTCATACTAGGATACTGAAAACCATGACCCAGATTTTATATATATATATAAATATATATAAAAAGCAATGCAAACAATTATTGAGCTTCATCTTCTGGACAAGAATGCCAAGTTAGTCTCTCCTCATAGAAAGCAATTACAATCTGAGGACATTTCATATTTGCCTCTTTCGCCAGCACCAGGTCTGCCTCATCTGAATCTTTCCTGTAGGGTGGGGGGCAAGAAATCCAGTTAAAAGTCTAAATTATTCATGTCAACTGACAAACATTTAAGAAATAACAATTGAAACAAAAGGTAGTTAAGTACTTCAGGATTTTATATGACATGTCATAGTTGTGTTCTAATAAACTTCATTTTCCAAAACAGGCCACCGTTTGCAGACCTTTGCTTTAAAACATCACTAGCAAAAGTAACCAGAATATCCTTTCAGTAGACAGCTATTCTCTACCGTATGATGGAAACAATTTACTTCACAAATTCTTTTTTTTTTTGAGTCCAAGTCTCATTGCTACCCAGGCTAGAGTGCAGTGGTACGCTGCTAACCGTTACCACAGCCTCAACCTGCTGGGCTCAGGCGATACTTCTGTAGCTGAACTACAGGCGTGCGCTACCATATCTGGCTAATTTTTGATTTACTGTAGAGACGAGGTCTCGCCAAGTTGCCCACTGATCTCGAACCCCTGAGCTCAGGCAATCCTATGGCCTCAGCCTCTCAAAATGCTGGGATTACAGGCCTGAGCCATTGCACCCGGTCTCACAAATAAATCTTTAAGAAAAAACACAAAACCAATCTACTTTTTAAAATATATCAACTATGTTTACTTACCATTTCATGAGAAACATCAGTTCTCCACTGCTGTCTGTGGCACCAATTATTCTTTCAGGATCAAGACCTCTTGCAAAGCCCCTCGGTTTGTCAGCCTATTCAGAAGAGGTTAAGTGAATACTTACAAAGTTTCCACACATTTTTCCATACCTCTAAGAACATTAACTTCTAATCTGTTTCCATAGCATATAGCTTTTAAATAAAGATGTTCCGGCTGGGCTCGGTAGCTCAGCCTGTAATCCCACGCTTTGGGAGGTCGAGGTGAGTGAATTGCCTGAGCCTGCGGGTTCTAGATGCGCCTGGGCAACTTGGCGAGACCTCATCTCTACAATTAATCAAAAATTAGCTGGGCGTTGTAGTGTGCACCTGTAGTTCCAGCTACTTGGAAGGCTAGGCGGAAGGATCGCCGGAGCCCAGCAGGTCAAGGCTGTGGTTGCTGGGAGCATGCCACTGCCCTCCAGTCTGGGCAACAGAGTGAGACTCCGACTCAAAAAATAAATAAGTAAATAAAAATTAAAAATAAAATAAAGACATTCCAATAGTGAAACGGAAACTACTGGAACAAAAGCCCGTATTTGGCATCAAATTGTCATTATTTCCATTAATTTCACAAGCAGAAAAAAAACACATCTAGATTTGTAGAATATTTAAAAATTTTAAAAACATTCTGCGCTGGGCTCGGTGGCTCAGCCCGTAATCCCAGCACTTTGGGAGGCCGAGGTAAGTGGATTTCCTGAGCCCATGGGCTCAAGACCAGCACAGGGAACTTGGCAAGACCTTGTCTCTACAATAAATAATAGTTGGGCATGACAGTGCACGCCTGTAGTTCCGGCTACTTGGAAGGCGAAGGCAGAAGGATTGCTGGAGTCCAGCAAGTTGACACTGGAATGGCCATGAGTGTGTCACTGCACTCCAGCCTGGGCTTCAGAGTGAGACTCCAACTCAAAACAAACAACAAATTCTGATTCAAAAGTCAAGAAAACAGACAACTATTTTCACTCTAAGACATCAAGGACTGAATAGTGTGGCATACATAAAAATAACTTTTATTTCTGCTTGTCATTACTAATTTAAAATTCCTTAAAGTTAATGTATTTTAAATCATTTCTAGGAATTATTCTAAATTAGCCTTTTAAAATCAGTCTCACTCTGTCACCCAGGCTGGAGTACAGTGGTATACTCATGGCCAACGCGGCCTTAACCTGGTGGGCTCAGGCAATCCTTCTGTCTCAGCCTTCCATGTAGCTGGAAGTACAGGTGTGTGCTACCACACCTGGCTAATTTTTGATTTTTATTGTAGAGACGAGGTCTTGCCAAGTTGCCCCGGCTGGTCTCAAACCCACAGGCTCAGGCAAACCACTCGCCTCAGCCTCCCAAAGTGCTGGGATTATAGGCTGAGCCACCGAGCTCAGTCTAGCCACATATTTTTAAAGCATTAAAAAAACAAATCGTCAACATGTGAAAAACTTTAAAACTCAGACTAACCGCTGTAACTGTTAGCAATCTGAATGAGAGGAAATCTTACAAAGTACTTAGTATTAACAAACAGTTTTCGATGTGTGGTCTAAGAGACCATTTGGGATCCCTGAGATTTTTTTGAGAGGGGGCTCTGCAAGCTTCCCCCACCTTTTTAATGTACTGGTGACTTTGGATTATCTTCATATGTCTCCACCAAAACAAGATACCACAGCAATCAAAGGCATAAACAGAACTATCTTCTGTTAAGCCAGACACTGAAGAGATTTGTAAAAAATGTAAAATGACTTTCTCAATTTTTCTTAGAAAAGTTATTTTTCATAAAAAATTGTTCAACATGCAAGTTCTTACTGTTATTTTTAACTGGATACACAAATATTTAAGAAATATGTTTTAATTTCGACTACAATAAATAGACACATAAACGCTCTTTGGTTTCCTCAATAATTTTTTATAGGTAAACTGAGACCAAAACAGTTTGAGGGCAGATGTTATCAATAAATCCTTTATTCCTTTTTATTTTTTTGAGTTGGAGTCTCACTCTGTCACCCAGACTAGAGTGCAGTGGCCACTCCCAGTCACCGCAGCCTCAAGCTGCTGGGCTCCGGCGATCCTTCTGCTTCAGTCTTACAAGTAGCCAGAACTACAGGCACATGCTACCACACCCAGCTAATTTTTGATTTATTGTAGAGATGAGTTCTCACCAAGTTGCCCAGGCGGGTCTTGAACCCGAGGGCTCAGGCAATCTACTCACCTCGGCCTCCCAAAGGCATGGGATTACAGGCTGAGCCACCGAGCCCAGCTAATCCTTTATTCCTCATCAAAGTCTTTTATCAACGTCACAGGACCTGGAATCAAACTGTCTGGCTAGACGTGTGGCTTTGGGCAAGTTTATTACCCTCTTTGTAGTTCAGATTTATTACCAATAAAACAGAAACAATTACAATACCTACTTCAGAGATACTTCATAGTGTATGAAGTACAGAGTAAATTATTTAGAACACTTCTTGGCACATGCTAAGTGCTCAATTTAGGCTAAGTATCGCTATGAAAGTTGTGCTTCTGTTGAGCACGTGATTCACTTTTAGAACCAAATTTGTTGCCAATCTTTTGTTTTCACATCTGAAAAAGGGAGACAATACCTATTAACCTTAACAGAGTTGTCATGAAGATTTAACGGAGTATCTGTACAGTTCTTGGCATCTAGATCAAATTCCAAATACAAAGTCCTTACCAATTAATCTGTAAGGTATGCTTAGTGCCTGAGCCTAGGAACTACTTTAGCACTAAGACCTTTCCCCAAATTGCCATACTAGGTGAGTAAGCGGGCAAGTATAATCTGTTTTATAGTCAAGAGTAAAAGTACCACAAGCCCAGATATCAAGATATTAATAGAGAGAATTAAAAAAAAAAAAAAAAAAGAGTAAAAGTAAGAAGTTACCTGACTTGCCTGAGGCAGACATTAACGAAGCAAAGACTGCACCAAAGTAGAGTCTCACTCTGTTGCCTGGAATGCAGTGGCAAACTCACAGTCACCGGAGTCTCAATCTGCTGGGCTCAGGGGATCTTTCCGCTCTAACATTCCAAGTAGCTGGAACTACAGACGGACGCCACTGCACCAGGCTGGGGTTTTTTGGTGACTTATTGTAAAGACGAGGTCTAACCAAGTTGCCCAGGGTGGTCTCGAACCCCCTAGCTCAGGCAATCCTCTCTACTCGGCCTTCCAAAGTGCTGGGATTACAGGCTGAGCCACCATACCCAGCCAGGATCACATACTTTAAAATCAAGGTAATGTTTGGCAATACAAAGATTGTATGCAAAAGTATTTTTTTGTGGTCAATGCCATTAATAAACTACAATCAGAAAGTACTATTATGACTGTTTTCACAGTATTGTAAAGGCTTTCAATGATCCGCTCTTAGCATTGTTTGTATTTAAGATTGAGGCCAGACAAGATGGCTCATGCCCATAATCTTAGCACTTTGGGAGACTGAGGGGAGAACTGCTTGAGCCCAGGAGTTAAGATTAGCCTAGACGACATAGCAAAATTTCGTCTCTACAAAAAATAAAAAATTAGCAGGGCTTGGTGGCTCAGCCTGTAATCCCAGCGCTTTGGGAGGCTTAGGTGAGTAGACTGTCTGAGCCCGCAGGTTGGAGACCCGCCTGGGCAACTTGGCGAGACCTCGTCTCTACAATAAATCAAAAATTAGCCGGGCATGGTAGCACATGCCTGTAGTTCCGGCTACTTGGAAGGCTGAGGCGGAAGGATCGCTGGAGCCCAGCAGGTCGAGGCTGCGGTGGCCGGGAGCAGCCATTGCACTCCAGTATGGGCGACAGAGTGAGACTAACTCAAAAAAAAAAAATTTCTAAATATAAAATAAAAATAAAAAATAAAAAATTAGCTGAATGTGGTGGCACAGGACTGTAGTCCCAGCTACTTGGGAGGCTAAGGGTGGAGGATCACTTTAGTCTAGGAGTTTGAGACTGGTGAACATGATTGTGCCACTGCACTCTAGCCTGGGAAAAAGAGTGCAACACCAACTCAAAAAAAAAAAAAATAATTGCTTACCTTGGATCACAGGTAACTGTTCTGTTCAAAGATTTAATCCCTAAAACTATTAAAAATAACACTACCACATTTTAAGTGGCATAAGTTACTTCACATTTACTCATGCCAGTAATCCCAGCACTTTGGGAGGCCGAGGTGAGAGGAATGCCTGAGTCCAGGGTTTCAAGACCATCCTGGGCAACTTGGTGAGACCTTGTCTCTACAATAAATCAAAAATTAACCAGGCATGGTGGTGTGTAACCTATAGTTCCAGCTACTTGGAAGACTGAGGCGGAAGGATCGCCTGAGCCCAGTAGGTCAAGGATGTGGTGACTCTTGAGTGTTCCACTGCACTCCAGGCGGGGCAACAGAGCGAGACTACAACTCAAAAAAAAAAAGGTATTTAAGTTCTTAAAAAAATCTCAAGTATTTAAAAACGAAGCCAAAAACTTAAAAAAAAAAGCAGGCCGGGCTCGGTGGCTCAGCCTGTAATCCCAGCACTTTGGGAGACCGAGGTGAGTGGACTGCCTGAGCCCGCGGGTTCGAGACCCTCCCGGGCAACTTGGTGAGACCTCATCTCTACAATAAATCAAAAATTAGCCGGGCGCGGTAGCGCGTGCCTGTAGTTCCAGCTACTTGGAAGGCTGAGGCAGAAGGATCGCCAGAGCCCAGCAGGTCGAGGCTGCGGTGGCCGGGAGCGCCCACTGCACTGCGGTCTGGGCGACAGAGTGAGACTCCAACTCTAAAAAAAAAAGCCTGGTGGGCCATGTTTTAGACTTACAGCATCTCTTTTCTTCTTTGATTTGCTGTCATCAGACTCACTGTCAGATAAAGACTTTCTTTTTGTACCATCTTTTTCTTTACCAGCTTTTTGAGAATTAAGAAATGCTTCAATTAACTCCGGACAATCTAAATTTTCTTCAGGCTCCCAAGTATTGTCAGCGCTGTGTCCAGGAAAAAAAAAAAGAGAGAAAAAAAAGTGATTTAATCAAACACGGTTCATTATCACTATCCGGATCCAATTAATAGATATCTGAAAGTACCCTGTACTACAAATACTAATAATTTCTTTCCTATCTCCTACATTCTGCCTAGATTTCCTTTTGCACCTGCTTTTACAGCCTCAAAAGTGGGTGATCTGTTATATTACTTCCAAGTTAAATAAACTTCATTCCAATGGAGTAAGTGGAAGAGCTTTTAAAAAAATGCAGATTCCCAACTCTCACCCCAATTATTAAATCATTATTATGCTTAGTGCTGGGACCTCTAATACTGTGTTTTAAAACATAATGATTGTGAAGCATTGTCAAATGCATTTTTCAGAAGTGCTGTAAAAAGATAATGAACATCAATTAATAAATGTGAAAGTATGATCCTGCGGTGGCCGGGAGCGGCCACTGCACTCCAGTCTGGGCAACAGTGAGACTCCAACTCAAAAAAAAGAAAGTAAGATCACCTGGCTGGGCGCGGTGACTCATGCCTATAATACCAGCATCTTACTCTAGCAACAGGCTTGCTAACTTTTCCTGCTCTGGTCCTAAAAAAAAATCTTTACAGAACTAGATGGAATAAAATAAATAATTTTAAATTTTAGGGATACTGGGAAGGGCATTATTATTAACCTCTGGCATTTAGCTTGATCTGCTGCTCTCATGAGACTCAAAAATTGGCAAACCCAAATTGGTGAGTGGAAGATAAAAGAAAGCTTCCGTTCTGTAGTATTATTTTCATAACAACCTTCCACATTACCTAACATGTTATACTGAACATGGCAAGTGAAGTATAACCATACTAGTGGCCTAAGTTTCGTGAGAATAAAACGGGAGGAGTCAAATCCATTTCCTCACATTTTGAGGGGGTAGAAACAGCTTTTCACGTTTTGTGGGATTAACTCCCCCCCACCATTTAAAGGTAATCAATTCTTTGGAAAACTGGTTAAATCTAATTTTTATTTTGCATTGAAGTCTCACTCTGCCACCCAGGCTGAAATGCAAGTGGCATGCTCAACGGTCACTGCGGCATCAACCTGCTGGGCTTAGGCGATCCTTCTGCTTCAGCCTTCCAAGTAGCTGGAACTATAAGCATGTGTCAGCACACCTGGCTAATTGTTTATATTTATTGTAGAGAGGAGGTCTCACCAAGTTGCCCAGGCTGGTCTCGAACCCCTGGACTCAGGCAAACCTCTTGCCTCAGTCTCCCAAAGTGCAGGGATTACAGGTTTGAGCCACTGCTCCTGGTCAAATCTAATTTTAAAATAGTTTAGACTTATTCTGCGCTTTTTTTTTTTGAGTTGGAAGTCTCACTCTGTCTTCTAGACTGGAGTGCAGTGGCCGCTCTCGGTCACCGCAGCCTCAACCTGCTGGGCTCCAGCGATTCCGCCTCAGCCTTCCAAGTAGTTGGAACTACAGGCGGACGCTACCACGCTTGGCTAATTTTTTGATTTATTGTAGAGATGAGGTCTTGCCAAGTTGCCCAGGCGGGTCTCGAACCCACAGGCTCAGGCAATTCACTCACCTCAGCCTCCCAAAGGCACGGGATTACAGGCTAAGCCACCAAGCCCGGCTTATCCTGCTTTCTGTAGGAAATTTTTCTAGTGGTAAATTGTGGACTTACATAATTAGGCTCAACTAACAATATGGGAGGATAAAACAGGGAAACCTAAATCTTCTATTCAACTCATAAATCCCCAACTGCTATGGATGTGGCTTTAAATGTGAACACTATAGGAAGTAGAACAGGTAACTGAAGCCTCATCATTCAACTATCATATGCTCCATCTCCACCATGCTCAGGAAACTGATCTCCACCTGTCCATTTTTAATTGTCGCCATCTATGGATCTTGGCTTGTTTTTGTGGTGTTAAGATGGAACGATCCAAGCAGATTAGCACAATAAACACAACTATTAACAGTATATAATTTCTGCATATTTGTGTTATTCAAAAGACCTAACATTTTAAAGAATTATGAGAGCAAGTCAGGCTCAGTGGCTCAGCCTGTAATCCTGCACTTTGGGAGGCTGAGGTGAGTGGATTGCCTAAGCCCACGGGTTCGAGACCTACCTGGGCAACTTGGCAAGACCTCACCTCTACAACAAATCAAAAAGATTAGCCGGGTGTGGTAGTGCGCGCCTGTAGTTCCAGCTACTTGGAAGGCTGAGGTGGAAGGATCGCTGGAGCCCAGCAGGTCGAGGCTGCGGTGGCCAGGAGCGGCCACCACTATTCTATATCTATATAGCTCCAGTGGTTTTTAGGGCCCTTTGTGGAGAGGGAAACAAAGCAGATTAGCTATTCTAATTACTATAATATTTAACTGTATTAAAACGTATTACACAGTAAGTGATACGCTATAATTTTACAAAGTTGACTCCACAGGGTAATAAACTCGTCTCCGATCTGCTTGGTTTCAACTGCAGGCTAAAAATGTGGCTTTTTAAACAGACCTCACATAAGACTCCCTAAAATTAAAGGTATCTATAGTCAGAGGTATCTATGAGAAAACAGACTGTGAAATTTAGGCTAAAAACAAATTTTAAAACAGTTTAACTGAGAGTAAACATATGAAAAAGAAGCACTGAAGTTTCTTACTCTGTAAATCCCTTCCACTTCAGGAAATATTCCACTTTCCCATTCACTACACGTCGATCCAGTACTTTTTCCACCACAAACTCTTCAGGCTCTGCCTCTTCAACCTTTTTACTCTTTCCATTCTGTTTCCTTCCCATCTTTTGCTAAAACAAAAGAAATTAGAAATTAAGAAACACACTTTTTGAATTCTGAGCACAATTTAAAGGCTAAATTGCTTATATTATTGTTACATTCAACACAAACTTTTTACTTCTACATCCCAGAGCAGACACCTTCTGAGAGAAAAAAAAAGTCAACAGACAATAAAATAAAGGAGTACTTGATACTGTTGATTTAGCTCAAACTTATGAACCACCATCCTTTACCAAGATGATAAAATTAAAAACACTATCTGGAAAATGGTTATTGTTTCCCACTTATTAAAACAAGACCAAGTTTACTAGAAATGTTTATCATTTTAAAAACAACACGGCAACAGATAATTATACAAAAACTAAAAGATACAGAGAGAGTAAGTAGTAGTGACAGGTCTTAAGTGAACCTATAATAGACCTATTAAAACTATAGCCCCAAGAAAGGAAGATTCCCTTTGCCAATTCAAACATTACAGTCAACAGCCTGAATAATAATACAGAGAAAAGGTAAATGCAGAATGAAAACATGGTTCAGAATCCTCTTACCAACTGTAGGGTCAACCATGGAGAAGTGAAAAAGGATACTTTTCCATCATCTCCACAGATGGTATTTCTGACAAGGCAGAACAAACCCATAATGCTGTCACTTCAAGAGGCCCAAATGTCTTTCATTTTAATTCCCCTATTTGGGGAAAAAAAAAAATCCTTCTTTTCCTGGTTTCACAAGAGTCTAAACTGGTAGCTAATCAAGTATACTTTAAATAGGTGTTGTGGGTTTTTTGGGGTGTATAACACTATTTAAAAGAGAAGCACGAGCTCAACCTCAATCAGCTATTTCCAGTAACTTAAATAGATTTGTTATGGGAGAATTGGTAGGTAAAATATTAAAAATTTGAAATGGTTACTCGGAAAATACTGAGGAAAAAAAATCCCTAATGTAACGTGCATTTTAACATTTTATCTTAAAACAAGTGCTATTAGAAAAAGCAAAACCTCAATTACCCCCTCACTAAAGCCATCCCATAAGTAAAGTATGTGAGCAGGAATAACAACAACACTAAGACTACAGAAGGACATTTCAAGTTATGCAGGAATCATGGGGTGTGCAGATATACATAAAAATATGCCCCAAGACTACAAAAAAGTCATTCAAGCTACCCAAGCATACAGGTGTTCACACACACACAAAATATACTCTGGAGTTTTTTTTTTAATCAGCAAACATCTGATTTTGTTGGTTACCATTTCCAAGTCAGGTCTTACAATTTTCACTGCTCTAGACACTTGAGTACTGGGCCCAAGTACTGCTACTGTACTGTTCAAGAACGTGAGAACGACAGTGGAAGGAGCAAAGAGAAATTGCAATAAATAGATACTGATGCTAAATGAAAAAGGAAATAGCTACTGTCCACAAAGAGAGGAGTCTAACAAAGTAAATATCAAAAATAAATTCAGAAAATAAAAAGGATGCACACTAAAAAAACATAATAGACAAAATGTCACATAGTATTTACTACCATAGCGTTGATAAGGTGGTGGTGTCCAGAGATCTTTTTTTTTTTTTAAACAAAATTATGTGTTTGGCTAAGCCAGTTTTTTCAAAGGTGGATTTTGGAGCCAAAATAAATTTCCCTTTACTTAAATAAAATTCACTCAGTTTTCCAATAAAAATTGTAACACATCTATCTCACAACACTAATGTGGTTTTAAATGAAAAGTTAGGCAACTTTCAAAATGGTCAATGTGAGCCTTCACAAAAGGTAAAAATAACTGTAAATACCAATAAATTACAGACACTGAAGAATGTCAAACAGTGTGCAAGACAATTTAATATTAATGGCAGCATACATCTGTTTGCTTTCTGTATCTATACTCAGCCTTGACTCCTCAATCAGGGTAGGCTAACTCCTTTCCCATCTAATACTTGAAAGAGAATAGTCATAGGTAACTAAAAGGCACTTGTCTACATTTTTGCTTACTGGTTACGGAATTTGAAAGTCAGATCAGTCCTGAGGAGGCCCTGACCTCTACGTACAGCACATGGGAATCATTTGTCCAGACTCACCACACAGGCTTTACATTTCCTATCAATCTGCTTTCCAGGGTATCTAACTTAATGTAAGAATCTCATGATGGCACAAATTAAAAATCACCAGCTTGCCTTTTTTAGCGTGAAACAGAGCATATACTGTCCAAAACCAAATATTTTGCTTTACTTACACATTAATACTCACCTTTATGATTAAATTAATGCAGTGTTAGAATACTGTGGAAGCCATAATTTTGAATTTTCTGATTTCTGTGACTATTCCAGTGTTTTAAAAAAATTTATAACTCGACATGGTTGAACATGTCTTTTTTTTTTTTTTTTTTGAGTTGGAGTCTCACTCTGCCACCCAGGCTGGAGTGCAGTGTGGCATGTTTACGGCCATTGCAGCCTCAACCTGCCGGGCTCAGGCGATCCTTCTGCCTCAGCCTTCCAAGTAGCTGGAACCACAGGCATGTGCCACGACACCTGGCTAATTTTTTATTTATTGTAGAGACAGGTCTCACCAAGTTGCCCAGGCTGGTCTTGAATCCGTGGACTCAGGTTATTCTCTCACCTCTGCCTCCCAAAGAGCTGGGATAACAGGCATGAGCCACCACACCTGGCTCATATGCGTTTTTGTACATTTGTATAACTAGTTATGAAGCCTAGGAATGCATTTGGTTTTAAGCTGCTGGAGAGAAAACCACAGCTCTCACAAGACACAAAAAATCTAGATTGTTCTCTCCTTCCTGAACATATTTGCCATTTTATGGTTAAAGTAGCCAAAACACTGCAATTACTTAAACTTAATGGTTTAAATAAATGAATGTATTCTCGAGTAAGCAAGTTTAAAACACGACAAACTGATAACCTTTGCTCCACTCTAGGTGCACATGATACCTGTTCTTTAAACTGGACATTAAAATACTTGATTTCTCTAGAATTCAGTGGGGTGGAAACATTATTATGCCAACAACAAAGGCTTTACCACTTTATGTAACATATCCTTCAATGCTGCATTCATTTGTGTATCTCGATTTGAAGATAAGATACTCAGCAAAAGCCACGGCGTTGTCCCTTTAAGATTAGGTTTAATAAGTATTAAGCCAAGTCATTAAGTATCTCAACATGATTCAGTTTCTGTCCCTAATCCTCCACCATAATACCGGGATCCCCCATAGTAATACCGGGAGAGCTAGGAAATATGTGGATGTAAATCTCTCAATCACAGAGATGCAAAGTTATAAACGTGGGGAAAGAATACTTGAGTTAAATCCTTACATACTTTAGCTTATCATTAACTTACCAATGTAGTTTTATTGGAGGCCATTTTTTATTGCAGACTTCAAGAGCTATTACTAGAAAAATGCATGACAGTTAAAAGAAGTTTCCACGACACAAAAAAGGTAGCTAAATACGAGTTCTGTTTGGATTCCAACCCCCACGTAGGTAGCTCACACTTCAAAGGTGGATAAAAATCCAGAGAAGCAGATCTGAGCTCCTGCCTAATGTATTAGCGACATAGACTTTAGTATGTACACTGATATTCAGACCAAGCAAGTCTACCTCACCGGGGACCTTGGTACCTGAGACAGCTTTACATGGCGAAAAATAGGGGGCAATTTTGGCTATCCAAACCCCACGTGTAATAAATTCAACATCCAACTTTTAAAAGCCAAACCTTCTGGTGCAGAATCGGGCTTCCAGACTACTCGCAGCGGGGAACACCAGTGGACTTGCCCCTAGACCCTCGAACAGTCCCCAAAATTTCCACCGGGCTGCCGCTCGGCCTCCCTCGCCCCTCAGCTCCAGGAGGGACACGCTGGAACGCTCCGGCCCCGCTGCGTGGCACTTCTCCCACGTCCACCCGCCCCCTGCCAGGCC